AAGCAAGAACACAGTTGTCAAATGGACAATTTCCTACGAAAAAAGCATCGTGCGCCATGTTCACTTGAAGCGTGCGGCCACGCCCTCCACATTTCCCGGATATCGTATCTATCATCTACTGTCGTGTATCTTCAGTGCCAGTGCCACTTTCCTCCTTGGAAAAGGAGAATCGGTAGCAGGGTACAGCATCGTTGTGTGAAACACATAGGGGTCGTACTTTTGGCCGGGAAGGGGGAGGTCGTATCTAGTCGTTGTTGGGAGGGGAAGGGTCGTATGTGGCTTCGAGTGAAATTTGCCGCACCGGGAGAAAAATTTCCCCTGTTGTTGACTTTTCCTGATTTTCCTGTTTCACCTGTTTCATGTGCACTATATACCCCCCTCCCCCTTGTCGACAGCAAAATTTCTGGGTAAAAAGAAGAGGAAACTCCGGGAAATTCCGGAAAAAGTGGCCGGAAAAGTGGTAGGAAGTTGGATAAAATCTGAGAAGTTTCCCTGTTTTGCATTGGCTATACATCACGATGCTGTACCCTAATCGGTAGTGCTCACCTTTCCCAGCATCTCGCTACGGCTTCCAACCAATTCACCCGCGTCCGGCACAAATTTTCCCAAAAACTAATTTTGCCAAAAATAAGGTCCCGCGGGGCTTCTCTTCATGTCAATGAAGGAGGAATCGCGGTTGGCCAGCAGTCAGTCTGGGGAAGAGAATTTTCGCGTATGAGAGAAAAGCTCCGAAGTACGGCACGTCCTGCTGGGGAGGGGGGAACTCTGCAACGTACATTCCCACCACAAAATTTTTGCTCTAGTACGACTCTCTTCCACACACCAGCCATATCTCAAATTTCTCCTAAGTGCCTACTACTTTTGCGCAGTTTTCTTTCCAAAATTTTCCATTTTCCCCTAAAAAGTACTGTAGAGCATGAAAGGGGAGGGAAAGGGGTACATGGTGCGCTCGGAGGAGTACCGGTAAAAGCAGCAGTTGAAGACATTTCTCCTGGAGCAGCAGGAGCAGCATAGAGGCAAATACGACTCTCCTCAAACGACCAAGTACGACCCTGTAGCTGGGGATTCCCCCCCCCCGCACGATGTGTCCTGCTCCGAAAAAGGTGATCCAGTCTAGATCGCATCATTGATTTGTTTCAAGTGCGCTCCATGCTCCTCCCCTTCGCCAGCAAATTCTTGGGAATTTCGGTCACAACGTATAGGTGTAAACGGTAAAGGAGGCTGCGAAAGGGGTTCACATCGGCGTAAGATTTGGATGTATTG